AAGAGTTAGGGTTTGCAGAAGGTTAAAGGAAAGGGAGAGGAAGAAGAAAGGGAAAAAGGAAAAACAAACGAAGAAAAAAAAAAGGAATAAGAAATTTTTTAAGATTTTTTTCTTGCCATCTCATTTTTTTTTGGCAATTTGTACATCCTAGGTGTCAAAATGCTTGTACATGTCATCGTTTTCCCGTCAAGTAACGAGACACGTAGGTTAATATTTGACAGAAGGATCAAATCGGGGTAAAAATGGTAAACAGTAGGGACCAAATCGGGGATTTTTTTAGTTTAGGGACCAAATCGGGGGTCCATACAATAGTTCAGGGACCAAAAAGGGGTTTTAACCATTATATATTCATGACGTAAGAACTAACTGATCATTACAGCAAGAAGAGGACAACATTTCCCAATTATTTGCGCTACCAGACAATTCTAAACTACAGAAAAATCAAGAGGACAGGTGGCTATGGCAATGGGAAAAAGATGGAGCATTGAAACAGAATCAGTCTATAAATACACGATGCACTAAGGCGCGCACGCACATCAACTTGGAAATGCAGTAACGTATAAAAGGTATTTAAATTCCTTAGTTCCAGAGAGGGTATGTGCATTTACATGGCAAGCTACACTAATAGAATTTCCACCAAGGATATTCTCCTAGCTAGAGAACTATTGCATGATGAAGTGGAAACAGTGTGTGGTTTTTGCAGATCTAGTGTAAGAATGTTGAGCATCTTTTCCTTAATTGTCCATTTGCACATAGTTTATGGACAAAATGTTTATAGTGGTGGGGATTATCTTATGTTATGCACGTTGAATTCGAGAAAGCATTTGTGCAACAAGTGTGGAGTAAGGGTAATCGGATTTGCTATGGTTTGGACACTGGTTGGGAAGGAACGAACAAATTTTTAACAATGCAAGAGCAGAGGTGGAGAAGATGCTGGCTTTGGTACGGTCGAGGTCTTATCAATGGATCATTGGGAGAGCGATAGAACAAGATTTCTCATTTATAGAATGGGTACATAGCAGGGGAAGTTCATACTAAAACTCCAGGTTAAGGGGGTTAGCGAAGGAATGGTGGCCAATGTGGGTGATAGTTGAGCATAGATTTTAATGTTTGTTGCCCATAAGATGGGGTAATTCCTAAGTGCTTCCAAACTTAAATTTAATTGTGTGTTGAACTGAGTGTGTATTAATTATTTTCTTTGTTATATATGTGCTGCAAAGTTAGAATATGTATGTGGGTACTTCTTGTACTCAAACAAAATAACAATAGTACATATTTGTTATTCAAAAAAAACAAAAAAGGATAACCATAATTGAAAAAAATTAAATAGAAAAATATTGTAAAATTATGTCATTTTAACGAAACTCTATTAAAAAAATACTAAACTATTCTAATTTTTTAATTATAAATAAGATTGTCTTAATATTTTCTTGTGATACTTTGTTGAAACAACTTAGTTTTAAATGTTTTTTCACTTAATTTTTTTTGTAAATATGGTTGATAAACACTAATACCTAAGGATAAGATGAAATTTTATCAATAAAATATTATATCCATAAAAAAACTAGTTGTATGTTTGGTTTGAGGGGGCAGGAGGAGTAAAAGTTCTCCTATTTGCTTCCCTTCCCGCTCCCCTTAGTTTCTGTCAAGCCAAACCAAACACACTATAAGCCTTCTAAAATTGGAGGGAAGGTATATAATTTTTTTTATATAATTTCCACGGAGTAGATATATACAATATTAAGGGTTCTAATAGAATGAAAAAATCTAATTATTAGGGAAAATAATTGGTGCATACTCACTTTAACACACTTTCTAACACTTATCTTAATTCAATTACTAAAATATAATACAAATACAATCGATTCAACTAATTTGTGCATCTTATATGTATGTGTATGCATTTTTAAATTTCTTTACATTCAATTTTATAATAAAAA